GGGTCCAATAATGTATTCAAGCACAAATTAATCTTTGAAAGCCAACATAGAAAACTTTTCCATATATTACCAAAGTAAGATAGGATGCCTTCTTCTTATGCCATTATAGTAAGGTTTGAAAACTCTGTCCATGTGGTTGAGACAAAATACACAGGTCCTTCCCACTAATTTATCACCCAGACAGAAGGGTTGCCATTCACACATGCCTATAAACAGGAGGCAAGCGGCTTCCCCATGGAGTTTTCCTAGGCTGCTCCAATATGTGTAGGAATACTGGGAACACATAAGCAGAGCTAAACGCATAGGTCCTTCCCACTCAGTTGCCTTTGAACCAAGGAGATGGCCAGCAATCAAGAGAAGAAATCCATGTGATAGATCCTGTCACATCATTCCATTTTTAAAATGATTCTATAGTAGTGCAGTGCATATCATTTTCTGGAAGCAAGCATATTCTCAGATGCAGAAGAAACATACAGCAGGGAAGCAGTTGCCTGAGTCACTTGCAAAATTTGGACTGCATCTGTATTGCAGAAATAATCCAGTTTGACACCACTTGAATTTCTGGGGTTCAATGCTATGGAATTCTGGGAATTATAGTTTGTTGTGGTACCAGAGCTCTCTGACAGTGAATGCTAAATGTCTCACAAAACTACACTCCCTAGAGTTCCATAGCATTGAACTCTGGCAGTTAAAGTAGTGTCAAACTGGGTTATTTCTGCAATGTGGATGAAGCCCTAGAGAACTTAATTTTTTTTTAAATGTAAAGCATTTTTAATTTTTAATTCTTTATTATTTTAATAATCATATGAATACCATTTTTCTCCTTTTATAAAACCTCTGGTTTGTTCTGGTTTTACAAGTGTTTTAAAAACATAACTTATAATCAGTGGCAGCTTCTGGCTTCCATTTCATTGAAGAAGTGAATCAGTTTTAAAGGAGCTATCCAAGGTGCTGAATGTTTTGGTGGGAGGATAGGTTTCAGCACCAGCACAACAGGTTTAAGGAATTCTTACATGGAATCTACTTCATGTAACAAAGAAAGAAAAGTATTTTTGACTACAGCCACATTTTATTTCTCCCCCCCCCCCCCCCCCGCCCCTTTGGTTGTGCTGGCAGGAGCAGATGGGATTTCTTGATGAAGACATCAAGTGTACAGCAGATTGCTTGTCGCTGTCTTGTAAGGTGCCCTGTATCAAGATGGTAGCCTAAAGCCAAACTTGCAAATGGCATTAAATGCATTGTTGCAGCTCACAAAAATGGCAGCTGTTTATTTATTCTCATACTTCCTTTTCTACAAAGTCTAGGACAATATTTTTGCACCCAGCTGTCATGGTGTTGTGTGTTTTCTTGTGTGAAGAGACAAATCTAGTACACCACAAATGTACTGTGTGTTTGTGTGTATATGTATGTGTGTGTGTGGAGAGAGAGAGAGAGAACATGGTATAGTGGTTTGAGCATTGGATTATCACACTGGAGATCAGGCTTCAATTTCCCACTCAAGCATAAAACCCCACAGGGTGACCTTGGGCAGGTCACACTCTCTCAGCCTCAGAGGATGGCAATGACAAGCCCCCTCTGAAGAAACTTGCACACAGCAACAACATATATATTTCATCTTATCACCTTATCTCCACATCCACAAAGTTCTGCATTCCTATGGAAATTCTCACACACTGACTGCTATACAAGCCTGAATTTTCCACTCTACCTTATGCATATGAGCAAGTAGGCTCAAGTATATAAAAGCTCATGCTACCAACTTTTCTTTCAGTTAGTCTCAGAGTTTCTACAGATCCCTTTGTATGTATATTTCTAGTTATTAAAGTAGGGGAAATTAAATGTTTGATTACTGTCTAGCAGAGACAATATGATTAAGGCAACGTGAAATGTATTCAATGTACAGCTTTTTGCTGAGGTTGTTATTCCCTGTAATTGTATTTCCTGTTCATCTGACGTATACAGTCCTCCAGTCCTCACTGTGCCACAAGCAGATAGTAGATGAACCACTACCAAAAGATGCCTGAAGAGTAAAGAATTTCATGTGATCAAAGCTGAATCAAACTACATCATACAGGGATGTAAAATAGGATCACTGGCCAGTGATTTAGATGGAAAATATTTTATGACTATAAATAAAGGTAAAGGTATTCCCTGTTGACAAGGCTGTCAAGTCATGTCCAGCCATAGGGAGAGGTGCTCATCACTGCTACTAAGCCGAAGAGCCAGTGTTGTCAGAGACTACTCTGTGATCGTGTGGCCAGCATGATTGCACAGAACACTGTTTACCTTCCCACTGAAGTGGTACCTATTTATCCACTTGCATTTGCATGCTTTTGAACTGCTAGGTTGGCAAAAGCTGGGACTAGTGACAGGAGCTCACCCCATCATGCAGCACCTGGGCCTCGAATTGCCAACCTGCCAATCTTGTAATCAGTAGACTCAACATCTTAATCACTTGAGCCACTGCATCCCAATATGACTATACAAACTCTTTCATGATGGATCTTTATATAAAAGACTATAAAGACTATAAAAAAGGATATTCAAATCATGGCATCAGCAAAAGTGAGTGATGAACTCATCATAAAAGAGTTTTATGAGGTACAATGTGTCCTGATACTTTTGAACAGTTGTTTTAATTCTTTTGCTCATGATTTCAGATGCTACCTATTACTGAACAGAATGGAATAGCAGGAAAAAACTGCTCAAAGTTTTCAAAAGCTCTGTTCAGGCATTCTAGGAGAATGGAAATATATTCAGTGGTCCTCTCCTTTCATCATATCCATAGCCTGCCCCCCATCCCATTATTCAGAAGATCAAGTCCTGCAGTGGAGTGCCTGCTCTACTTGTGCCATCTTCCCACATGATTTAGTAACACAGCCTGTAAAAGTTCCTTTCCTAGGCTGCATCTGCACTGTAGAAATAATGCAGTTTGGCACTGCTTTAATTTCCATGGCTCAATACTATGGAATTCAAAGAGTTATAGTTTTGTGAGATATTTAGCATTCTCTGTCAGTGTTCTGGTGCCACAACAAACTACAAATCCCAAAAATCCAAAGGATGGCAGTTAAAGCAGTGTCAAACTGCATTGTTTTTGCAGTGAAGATACAGCTCCAGACTACAGCTGGCTGGGAGGATTCTAGAAATTATAGTCCCAAGATACTAACATTTGCAGATGCTGTTCAGAACAATGTACAACAGTCACTCTGTTCTGGGGAAAACCTAAATGACTAGAAGAATTGCCTTGCTGCAACTGTGGTGGCAGCAGCCAACAGGGTCACAATAGAAACAGAGAAAATTGTCACTTTTCTTCCTTCATGCAGTCCAAAGCTAGAATGCTTAAACAGGGCATTCAGATAACTCAGTGAAAACCAATTAAGCAGGGCCAGCCCTACCATTAGGTAGAATAAGGCAGTTGCTTCATGTGACAGACTTTGAATGTCAAGAAATTCTGAATTATTTAATAAATTATCAGATATGCATGCATATGTGTATACTATGACCAAAAATGAGGGGAAAGGTCCTTGTGGAGCTTTTTATCTTAACTGCCAAGATTACCTGATTGGCTATGTATCTTCACTGGGAACGTGTGCCAAATATCTTGGGCCAGCCATGTTATTGAGGGGTTATGTTGGTGCAGAAATGATTTTTGGTAGATGAACTCCACTGAAATGTATCATGCCCATCATGGTACACTACTGAAGCAAAATGGTGGATGTGTCCAAGACTCAGTTGTTGCTGCTGTTGTATGCCTTCAATTCATTTCTGATTTATGGAGACCCTATCATGAGGGTTTCTTGGCACGTTTTGCCAGAGGGTGTTTGCCATTGCCATCTTCTTGTTGTATGCCTTCAAGTCATTTCCAACTTAGGGTGACCTTAAAGCAAGTCTATCACAGGGTTTTCTTGGCATGTTTTGGTCAGAGGGGGTTTGCCTTTGCCTCTCCCTGATGCTGAGAGTGAGTGACTTGCCCAAGGGCACCCAGCGGGTTTCCATGGCCAAATTGGGATTCAAATCCTGGTTTTCAGAGTCCTAGTCCAACGCTCCCAAGACCCAGGCAGACCCTTAAATTACAAAGATGTGATCTAGCCAACACTCCTGGGCAAAGGTGTGATCTAGCCAACACTCCCATCTAAATCCACATGAACTAAGGTGCAATCTACAAGTGTGCTTCAGACTTGGCCTTGTCTTTAAAGGTCCTTAGTAGATATAATGAAGTGGGAAAGCACTCCCTGGAGGTCAGCCTTCCAGCAAAGCACCAGGATAGAGGATTCTGTTCTGATCCTGTCAGACCATACCCTATTTAAAGCCACACTTTGAACTGGGTTTATCTTTTACCACACCGGAAAGAACTTGGCTGCAACCTCAACCCCAATCCCAGCCTTGAGAGTCAGTGTGGTGCTTAGGTGCATTGGACTGGGACTTGGGAGTCCCAGGTTCTAGTTCCCACTCAGCCATGAAATCTCACTGGGTAAACTTGAGAAAGTCATTCTCTTTGTCACTTGGCTTAACCTCCCTCACAGGGTTGTTGTTTTAAGGCTTGAGCAGAGAGGAAGGCATCCTGTTTTCTGTCTGGAGTTCACTTTTGGAGAGAAAAAATTGCAATGAATATAAATACATTTTATCACATAGACTTCTTTGTCTGGAGGGAACCAAGCCTCACACACATACACACAAACCCCGGATGGCTTTTCAACATCATTTCCAGTGAACCCATTGCTCCTTGGGAACTTTTAAATACACTTTCACACCCACAATTGGTGTGTTTATCAGTTTAGGGTTGCTTATTCCATCCACGGTTTAGCATTAAGCACAGAACAGGGCATTAAGTCAGTGTTAAGCATTAAACCATTTGCATTAAGCCAGTGTGGAGTAGTGGTTTGAGTGTTGGACTGCGATTCTGGAGACCTGGATTCTGTTCCTAGCTCTGCCATGTAAACCCACTGGGTGACTTCGGACAAATAAACATTCAAGAGATAGCTAGTCTGTAGTGGGCAACAACCAGTGTGGCGTAGTGGTTTCAGTGTTGGGATTACAACTTGGAGACTGGGGTTCAATTCCCTGTTTGGGTGGGTGACCTTGGGCAAGTCACACTCTCTCAGCCTCAAAGGAAGGCAATGATAAACCTCCTCTGAGCCAATCTTGCCAAGAGAACTGCAGAATGGGTTCACCTTAGGGTCTCCATAAGTCCCAAATGACCTGAAGGCACACAACAGCAGCAGCAGCAGCAGCAACAACAACAGTGCAAGGTAGTCATTGTTGATGAATTAACCCAGTTTTGTAGCCTCTGCAACCAACCCTGGACTTCTTCCCCTTCATTCTCACTTCAGGAGGATTATTATCCTGCGGTTCACTCCTCCAGCAGGAGGCAAAGGGATGAATGAGGAGGAGGAGGAGGAGAAAGCTTAGCCAGGGAAATCTCTGGTTTCAAGGAGGAGGAGGATATTTATGAGGTGCTGCTTCGCCTCAGAGAAATTGGGGTGGCCCTGAGGGGGAGAAGTCTGGCTCTTTCCCAGCTCAGCCTCTCAGAAGGAAATGGCGGGAGACAGAAAGGGAGAAGAGTATGGGGGGTATATATAAGAAAGAGGTAAAGTCTGGAAGGCTTTGAGGCGAAAGGACATTAGAAGGAGAGTGGTGGCTTTGTGTCGAGCAGGGCTGTATCCGCACTGCAGGAATAACCCGGTTTGATACCACTTTGATTGCCACGGCTGCCTGCTATGGAATTCTGGGAAGTGTAGTTGTTTTCCCTATAGGCAAGTATTCCTCTCTGTTTCCCTACAGGCATGTATTCTCCAGTGTTTCTTTATGGGCAAGTATTCCTCTCTGTTTCCCTGTAGGAAAGTATTCTCCAGTGTTTCTCTATGGGCAAGTATTCCTCTCTGTTTCCTTATAGGCAAGTAGTCTCCAATATATCTCATAGAGAACCACTGGAGAATAGTTGCCTATAGGGAAACAGAGAGGAATACTTGCCCATAGAGAAACCAACTACACCTCCCAAATTCCAGAGCAGGTTGCCAAGGCCGTTCAAGCGGGGCCAACCCGGGTTATTCCTGAAGTGCGGAGGCAACCCAGGACACCGTGAAGGCAATCCCAACCCTTTGGGTTGCCCACCCCCCAAAACTGGAGGATTAAAAAGCGAATTGTTGTGGGGGTGGGCATTGTCTAAGCAGCCCCTCTCTCATTTCGGCCACTTCCATTTATCCTCCCAGCCTGGCTTTTGTCTTCCTTCAACCGGTCCATATTCAGTGGTTTGGAAGTTGGGGGAAAAAAGGGGGGGAAGAGTGAACATGGATGCCCCTATCTCTAGGGGCCCAGGGCCCC